ATCATACTTACAAGAGCTGCATTTTGCATCCCACTGTCCTGGGATGTTTTTAGGAAAAATGCTCATTCCTATATATTTTCCACCACTGAAATAAAAGGTACCTCTGTCATCAGGTACCTTAGTTTGCTATCCCTACTTCAAAAATGAAAAAGCAGAAAGCAGAATTTCAAGGAATTATGGACATTCTGGCACTTAGCCATCAATTTGCAGCATTTAAGAATGAAAACCAGGAACCTGACCCTCATTTGTCACACTCAAGTTTAGCTAAATGTAGAATCAAAAACTTGTTAGGACAGGGCTTAAATCATCCTCAGCTTCAAAAATAAACTGAGAGAGGAAATGGCCAAAGCTGAAAAAGCTAGAAATGGTATAAGCCAGAAGCCTCAGTCTGTGGGTTACAGAATTCCTCCCCTGATGCCCAGAACACCTTTAAATTCCCATAAACTGGGACATACTCCCAGCCTCTCCTCAGCGAGCAAAAACTTGAGGGAAGTGTTGAGAAGTTTTTTAAGCCAATTTGAATCCCAGTCCACCACAAATCTGTGCTGGCTTCTGTCACAACGTGTGACAAAACACCCCAGAGGCCAGGACAGGTGAGCAGGGCACAGCAGCACAGGTGACTCCTGATTGCTGCTGGGCTTGGTCCTCTGGACACCCCTGGGAAACTCCAGCCTGAAGCCCCCAGCAGAGGAGATTTTCTGAAACGAGCTGAAATCACGCCAGAGGGGAACAGAAGGGCACAGCAGAGGTGTCAGAGCAGCCACCTGGGCACCAGGGCTGCCCTGGCTGCACCTGCAGCCCCAGGGCAGCAGCAGCTGAGCTGGGCTCACTCCAGCTGGGACTGCCAGGGCTCAGCTCGGGTTGTCAGAGCAGCACTCCCAGCCTGGGCAAAACAAACACACAGGGGACATCGGCCAGCAGGGAACAGCAGTGCCCAAACCAGCCCAAAGGAACTGGGCTGAGCAGGACCGAGTGACACAAGAACCAGGAGGGGAATTCACTGCTCTGGAACCCAGCTGGCTGGGAACTGCCCTGCAACAGCACTCACAGGAATGTCATTTCTATTTAAATGTATGGCAGAGCAAGCAGCAGGGCAAGACCCAGCCCTGCTGCCTGTGCCGAGCTGTCCTTCCTGAAAACACCAGGGAACCTCCTGGGAACTGCACCAAGCCTGCACTGAGCTCCATCAGACTGGCCTTTAGGGTGTCCCAGCTATTCCCCTGGCTGTTCCCACCCTCTGCTCCAGCTTTTGTTACCTGTCCTGGTAAGAGTGAACCTGCAGGGCCTGTCCTTCCTCCAGGGAATGTTTCTAGAAGTTGATAAGGCATCTACCTCAGGTTTCCACATGGCTGCTGCACCTCTGAGCCCCTTCCTGGCTCTGGGGCTGGCACACCTTGGGACTTTTCCCTCTGAGAGCAGGGGCACAGCGACCACCAAGTGCCAGAGCACTGCACCACCACAGCACGGAGCTGCCCCGTGCTCCCACAAGGTGCCAGCTCAGCAGGACACCGGTTCCTGCACGGCTGTGACGGGACACAGCTCACAGGGATCTCTTCCCAGCCCCCTGCAGGGCTCTGAGCACAGCTGAGTGCACAGAGCTGTGTGTGAGCCCTCCACGGAGAAAAGGAGGCTCTGGGAGACCTCCAACACCTCCCAGTACTTAGAGGTGGCTTTTAGAAAAGAACAACAACTTCCTACACTGGCAGTTACTGAAAAGAGAAGGGGGATGTTATCTGAATTAAAAGCTGAGAGATTTAGATGAGATTTTGGGAACAAATCCTTCCCTGCCAGGTGGGCAGGCCCTGGCACAGCTGGGGCTGGCCCTGGATCCCTTGCAGGATGGACACTGAGGCTGGAGCAGCCTGGGGCAGTGGGAGGTGACGCTGCCAGGGCAGGGGTGGCACTGGGTGGGATTTAGGGTCCCATCCATGCTGTGATCCATGAGGGCAGCCCCTGTCCCTGCTCTCTGCAGGTCGGAGACTCTGCTAGCTGCACCCACCTGTCCCCAGGGAACAGAGCAACTCATCATTATTCACCTATAATTAGCACAATAACAGAACACAGAGCTTTTCCCAGGAGAGCAGAGGGAACCCGGAGCCAGTGTGACCCTTCTCCGGGGGAGAGAGCAGGGCACGGGGGGACCGGGATGGGGCACGGGGGGACCGGGATGGGGCACGGGAAGGGGCTCGGGCCACCGCCTTTATCGGGGGGAAGTGACCCCTTAAGAGCCCTTTCACGGGCCAGGAGGTGACACCGGCCGGCTGCCCCAGCCCCAGCAGGGTGGGGACCCAGCGAGTGACCCAGCGTGGCGCACGGACACGGGGACACACACACGGGGACACACACGGACACGGGGACACACAAAGGGGGACACACAGACATACATATAAACACACACACACGCACACACGCACGCACGCGCGCGCACGCACGCGCACAACGGCTCCGGTCAGTGAGCGGCTGCTCCCGCCCGCCCGACCCCGTGCTCACCTGAGCCCGCTGCTCCTGCTCCTCCTGCTCCTGCTGCTGCTGGCCGTGCTCCATGGCGGCGGCCGGGCCGGGCCGGGCCGTGCCGAGCCGTGTGTCTGTGTGTCCGTGTGTCCCAGTGTCCCGCTGTCCCCGTGTCCCGCTGTCCCCGTGTCCCGCTCTCCGCCGGGCCCGCGCGGTCGCCAGGGACTCGCGCTCGCCCCGCGCGCGCACGCGCCGGGACCGCCCCCTCTCCGCGCCGCCATTGGTCAGCGGAGTGGGCGTGACCGGAGGCGCGAGCCCCGCTTCCCGCGCGCTGATTGGCGGGCGGGGAGTGGCGGGGCGGGGCTGCGGGAGCGCGGGCGCGCGCGGGTGTTTTGGCGGGCAGCGGAAGTGCCCGGATGGAGCGGGGGGTGGGGCCGTGAGGGGCCGGAGCGGGCAGGATGGACCTGCCGGGGCACGGACACTTTCCGCTGCCCGGGGAGCTGCGCCCAGCCCGCCCGGGGACACTGCCAGGGTTCCGGGGGCAGCCACCGCCTGTCACCTGTGCCCGGAAAAGCTCCCCCGTATATCGGATCTGACGGGATCACCGGATCGCTGGGGCTGGAAAAGCCCATCCGCACCGCCCAGTCCCACTGTGCCCCATCGCACCTTGTCAGCAGCGCAGAGCTCCGAGTGCCACCTCCAGCCCCTCCCCGGACACCTCCCGGCATGGGCATCCTGCCAATATCCAGTGACCCCCCTGTGAATAAAGCCTTTCTGATATTTGTCCCTGGTCCCAGCCCCGCCTCTGGCAGCGGGAGCCATTCCCTGGGTCCTGTCCCTCGTCCGCCTCGGTGCTGGCTGACACGCAGCCCGCAGCAGGCCCTTTGAGACCGGCGGTGTTAGCGGAGATGAGCTGGGATTTTCCTGCCTGGGAATTCCCCTCAGCTCCCTCCCGAGCTCGCCGGCAGGAGCGGGGTCTCTGGTGTGTCAGGAGCCACGGCCAGCGGGGCTGGAAGAGCAGGCTCAGAGTCCGGGAGATGGGGAAGATGAGCAGAGCCTCTCCATGGACACCTTTAGACCTGTGTGTCAGTCCTGAAATCCGCCATAATTCCCGATCCTGAAATCATGCATGCCTTCCTGATCCCCGAAATCCGCCATAATTCCTGATCCATTAAATCCTGCGTGGCTTCCTGATCCCCGAAATCATGCATAATTCCTGATCCTGAAATCACACATGGCTTCCTGATCCCCGAAATCTGCCATAATTCCTGATCCTGAAATCATGCATGGCTTCCTGATCCCTGAAATCCGCCATAATTCCTGATCCCGAAATCATGCATGACTTCCTGATCCATGAAATCCACCATAATTCCTGATCCTGAAATCATGCATGGCTTCCTGATCTATTAAATCCTCCATGATTCCTGATCCATGAAATCCTCCATGGCTTTCTGATCCCTCACCTCCTCCATGGCTTTTTGATCCCTGACATCCTCCATGGCTTCCTGATCCATTAAATCCTCCATAACTCCTGATCCCTGAAATCATGCATGGCTTCCTGATCCATTAAACTCTCCATAATTCCTGATTCATGAAATGCTGTATGGCTTCCCAGTCCCTACAATCCTTCATCACTTCCTGATCCATTAAATCCTCCATGGCTTCCTGATCCCTGCTATCCTGCATTGCTCCCTGATCCCTGCCATCCCCACGGCTCCCTGATCCCTGCCATTCCCCACGAATCCCTGATCCCTGCCATCCCCACGGCTCCCTGATCCCTGCCATCCCCATGAATCCCTGATCCCTGCCATCCCCATGAATCCCTGATCCCTGCCATTCCCCACGAATCCCTGATCCCTGCCATCCCCAAGAATCCCTGATCCCTGCCATTCCCCATGGCTTCCCAGTCCCTGCCATCCCCACAGCCTCCCTTCAGTGCCCAGAGGGAAGGAGGAGCTCTCCCTTCTGCGGACACAGCCTGGGCCTGGCAGAACATCTCTCAGAAGGCAGTGTCTGCACTGGCTCTGCAGAGATTTGGGTGTTATTTTTCAGCACTAGATAAATGCGAATGCTCAAATACAGCAAGGCAAACATTCCTTAAAATAATTAAGATGCTGACAAGAAAATGCAGCTTGATATTCAGCCCCATCTCCTGTTCCAAATCCAATTAAAGGTGTCGGCTCAGCCCGTCCCAGTGCTTATTTATGCACACCCCTAAAACCCATCCCCTCGGCGGCGATGGGAGAGGCTGGAGGGAGCAGCACCCATGGGAGTCACTGGCGAGGGGAGAGGAGGGGCAGCGATCACAAAGCAAACCCCGCTGGAAGAGAGAGGCAGCAGTCCCACACTCACTCCCCGGGCAGTCCCTGGAGGGCTGGTGCTGCTGAGAACAGCTCAGTGTCACCTGGGGGAACCTGCCAAGCGCTGCCGGGGACTGAAGGGCTCCTCTGTCACACAGATTCTGTCACTGCCTTTATTTTTAGCGATTCACAGGCAGGGAGAGGAGGAGGAAGGGTTGGCTGAATGTTTATCGCTCGCACATCACACAGGAAGCTGTTCACATTTTTATTAATTGACTAACAATATCCAGAGACTTACTCAGGCTGAGATGGAATATGCTCAAATCCTTTCCAGTAAAATGTCACTTGAAATGAAAATGGCAGAGGAATTTTTAGAAAGGCCATCGCTGGGGGAGATTCTTGGAGAGAGAAGAACCTGCCTTTCCCCAAAACTCTGTCAACCTCAGGGGCTTTTAAAGGTGACATGTAGTATATTAAAATACAGGGACTGATTAATGTGCTAATTGCAGGGGAGAATATAAAATACAATCGTGACTTTAAATACCTTGGAAAAGGGGAATGTTTGAACATCAGGCCGTGGCTGGTGCCAGTGACATGTTAATTGCCAAGTTTTCAACGTGAGGATTTCTAAGCTCCAAGGTGGTTGGAAACTCATCGTTACTGGGATCTGATCAACAGGATTCCTCAGCCGCTCTGGAAAACAAACCTCTGCTGGTTTAGTGTCTGTGTATTTTAGAATCAGGTAACTTAGGAACACTTACACCTGGCTGAGCTTTTTCCCCTGGTTTGTGATTGAAAAAATGGATGTGCTTCCACGTGAGAGATCCAGGTAACCTCTACACCAGCTCCCGTTAAAAAAATGGAGAGGAAGAGGCAAGTGAGGGAAGAGAAAGTGTGTCAGAAGGGTGGGCAGCGAGGAGCCAGCGAGTGCTGGCACAGCAGCAGCGTGAGGAGGCAGGAGATTCAATGAGCCAGGGGCAGGGGGAGTTCCCAGCTGCAGGAGGAGCTGGATGTGTATCATTAGTGCCAGGGAAGGAGCTCACTCTGGGGCTGCAGGACATGAAACCAGGAATTAGGAGAGGATGCCGCTGACAGGCAGAGCTCCTGAGCAGAGCGCAGGCTCGGGCAGGAAAAAGGAGACAAAAGGGAATGAAAGCATGAATGGGGAGGCTGAGCTCCGTGCTGGGAACGCTGGGACACAGCGGCACGGGGGATTCCAGGCCGGAATCACACTGCAGGAGGTGCCCCAAGCTGGGAGCACATCCCTCCCTGGCTGCCTGCAGCAGCACCAGCGGAGTGCCCTGCTTGCTGCAAGCCGAAGGCTGCGGGGTTTATTGGCTGATTTCAGCTCAATCACATTGAAGGATAAACGGAATCTGGGCTTAGCTGAGGCTTCTGAGCTGAAAAGAGCAAATCAGGATTAAAGCAGGAAAACAGTTTAATGGGATAGACTGATCTGAGGAACTTGGGCTCAGCATCCCTGGCTCACACTGGGATATTGAAGGGGCAATGGCAGCTGCCTCGCAGTCCATAGCAGGGGATAGGATCACAGAATGGCTTGGGGTGGAAAAGACCTTCAAAACCACCCAGTGCCACCCCTGCCATGGCAGGGACACCTCCCGCTGTCCCAGGCTGCTCTGAGCCCTGTCCAGCCTGGCCTTGGGCACTGCCAGGGATCCAGGGCAGCCACAGCTGATCTGGGCACCCTGTGCCTGTGTCCCTGTGCCAGGGGGAAAGTGACTCAGAAGGTGCAGTCTGTGAGGGGATACAGCTCCTTCCAGTGAGCCCACAAGGTGCCCAGGAAAATCACCCACCTGCTTTAGGTACTCTGGTAAGATGCCCAAAGTTAGGGCAAATAGACACAGCTCTTGGCAACCCGGATCTAGAGAAAGCTTGGGATTCCTTCCTGTGAATGTATGCAAGTTGTTTAAAATCTTATTCCATGTGCAGTGATGAAAGCCCTGCATTGGCAAGGCCTGGACCTGGGGGAAAAAACCCTCCAGGAGGGGCCTGGGATAAACAGGGAGCCTAAGAGAGGGAGCAAGAGGACACATCCCAGTGAAGCTGTACCCCGAGGGCCAGCAGGCTCTGGGGTGTGAAAGTGTGCCATGGCTTGTCAAACCAAAGTGGCAGCTGGGATGGAGAAGGAGCTCCAGCGCTCTCCTGGGCAATGCTGAGCCCCGATTCCAGACTAAAGGGAACCCTGGAGTTCCTCCAGTGACCCAGGGTGGGCTGGGAGCTGCTGTGAACCAGCTGGGCTGACACCCAGCACAGCCCCTGCCGCGGGCACAGCCTGGGGACCGGTGTCTTGACTCACGTCTTATGCAATCCCTCTCCTCCCCAGGAAGCGAGAAGGAACCGATTAAATCTGCCCACACAGCGTCTCTAATGCCTGAGCTGAAAGTGGTGGGGAAGTATGATGGATATATGAAGCCCTTCCCAAGGTTTTCGGGCAAATCAGGGGAAAGTTCCTTCAAAAATGTACAGCTAATTATGGATTTTCCAGCTGCGATAATGTTCCGAGGTCTAAGTCTTTAATTAAATCAGAGGTTTATGAGTGAACATTCCTGGTAGGAGTCTGTAGGGAGTAGCCTTTGAATTGGTAAATCAGCTCCTGAATAAACCACTTGTCAAGCTGAAACGCCGCGTTCCCTGAGTTCTGTGCTAAGTTTAAACAAGAAAATAACTGAATTTCATGGAGATGAAGAATGGCAGTGCTGGGAACTGGAGACGTTCTCTCACCCTCAGGTGCTGTGTAGCTCCTGCAGAACATTTTCTGTCTGTGCCACCCCATCAGCTGCTGCCACTGCTCCAGCAGTGGAATCATCTGTTCTCCTGCTCTCTGTGCTGCCCCAGCTGCCACAGACACATCCACGGGCCCTGATTCCCTGGGAGGGTGGGCAGGGGCTGGCACAGGGTGCCCAGAGCAGCTGGGGCTGCCCCTGCATCCCTGGCAGTGCCCAGGCCAGGCTGGATGGAGCTTGGAGCACCCTGGCACAGTGGAAAGTGTCCCTGCCATGGCAGGGGTGGCCCTGGATGGTGCTTGAAGTCTCTTCCAACCCAAACCATTCCATGATTCTTTAATTCTGCTGGTGCATTTGAGGCACTTCAGACCCAGATGTGCCAGGACTGCCCATGTCCTCAGTCTGACCTCCCTGACCCAGTCTGCAGCAGCATCAGGGCTCTGGGCTGGGCCTGGGGAAGCCACAGCATCTGTTTTCTATCTCTTTTGTACCTGTTTCATGCCTGTTTTATATCTGTTTAATTGTTTAATGCCCAAAACACTGACAAGCGTTGAGTTTCCAGCGTGTCCTTCCCTCGCAGCCTGACCAGGCTGCCCTCACAGCTGTGCCCTGCTGGCACTCGGGGGGTCAGAGCTGCAGACCACAGCTTGGCCTGAGTTCCCTGAGCTCTGGAGCCAGCTGCTCTCTGTCCTCACTGACCAGCAGCCACAGGCAGTGTGTCCATAGTGGCCACATGGCCAGCGTGGTCCTGTGCCCAGCCTCTCCCCTGTGCCTCGTGCCCTCTCTTGGGCCCCTTCTACCTCTGACTGCCCTGTCCTTCCCCAAGTGTCCTTCCCCAAGTGTCTCAGCCCCAGCTCACCCCTCAAGCTCTGCTCCATGTCCTGTGCAGAGAGCGTGGCTGGGTTGGAGCGATGGAAAGTTCAATTGCCTCAGCACAGACTAATCCGAATGTGGCCGTGTGAGCTCTCTTTGTAATCTGTGGGGGAAAATCGGAGTCTTTTAGGGCATGAGTCAGCTAATCTGTTTTAGTCTCTATTTTGGGAGGAGATGAAGCATGTCCTCAAATTCGCTGTTCTTCTCTGTTGACTTCAAAGGGAGCCCAACGTGACTTGCTGGGACGGAGGTGTCTGTGCAAGGGAAGTCTATCTTTGGGCAGATGGATCTCGCATTGAAGGGGAAGGGTGACTTCATCCATCAGCTGTGCATTCTTCGTTTCAAGCTCTGCTACCTGCCTGAGGCACTGCTCACTCCTCAGGGTCCCTTTCTTTGCTCTGCTTCTTGCCAAGGACAGGATCTCAAACACAACTCCCAAGGATTGATGGACAACATCTGTAGTGACCCTCCCCTGCCCCCCACTCTTCTCCTCCTGGTGTGAGAGTTTCCTGATGCTCCCACCCTTCCCTCAAGCACCTCACAGTGTCTCCTGAGCTCTCCCTTTCATCACTGCCCTGCCCCACACCCCATCCATGATGGAGAACTTCTCCTCACAGTCACACCGAGGTTCTCTTATGCCCAAAGGCCTCCACTGTGACCCCCACCTGATCCTCCACTCCTGCCCCACCCTCCAGTCTCCCCTCCAAGCTCCCTGAGCACACGGAACACTGAGGAGCCCAGGGCTTGGAACCCACCAGCATCAGCTGCTCAGGACTTTGCCCAGTGACGTTCTGAGTACCTCCAAGGATGGACAAGCCAAGCCTGCCCAGGATTCTTCCAGTGCCCATCCCTTCCAAGGGCTAAGGAATGCTCATTCCAGAGTCCCTCATGAAAGTTAAATGAATAAAAGGTTAAAAAGTTAAATCTCAAAAGCAGTGCTTCATCCTCACCTTCCCTGAGTCAATTCCAGAGCTTGGAGTCTTGTCCTTCTCTGGAATCTTCCTTTTTCTCAAGTGCCTCCTTAGGGCAGATGCCTTCAGTGAGGGCTTTGGAGGATTTTCTCTCCCCTTTAGGAGCTGGAAGAGAACTGGACCTGCCCCAGCCGTGTGTGCTGGCACCCGGAACCCCCAGGCCTGGGCAAATCCCAAAGGAAAGGTGGGAATTGTGTCCCTGTGCCCTCAGGTGAGAGCCCACCTGCAGAGCTGCTCCTGCTCCTGGATCCCAAATCCAGGAGGACGTGGAGCTGCTGGAGAGAGCCCAGAGGAGGCCCCGGAGCTGCTCCAGGGCTGGAGCCCTCTGCTCTGGAGCCAGGCTGGCAGAGCTGGGAATGTTCCCCTGGAGAAGGGAAAATTCCAGGGAATGCTCAGAGTGCCTGGAGGGGCTCCAGGAGAGCTGGAGAGGGACTGGGGACAAGGGACAGAGGGACAGGAGCCAGGGAATGGCTCCCACTGGGAAAGGGGAGCTTGGGCTGGGATCTTGGCAAGGAATTCCTGGCTGGGAGGGTGGGAGGGGCTGGGCTGGAATTCCCAGATTTGCCGGGGCTGCCCCTGGATCCCTGGAGTGCCCAGGTCAGGCTGGACAGTGGGGCTGGAGCAGCCTGGCATGGGGCAGGTTGGCAGAGGGTTGGAAGTTCCAGGTCCTGGGGGTCCCTTCCATCAGCCCTTCCCTGGTTCCCCAGCAGCCCCAGGCTCTGCTCTGCTCCCCCCGTGCTGCTCCAGCCCCTGCTGCCCTTCCCCAGCCCGCTGTGCGGCCATTCCTGCAGGAGTCCCGGGGAGCAGAGCTGCCCGCCCTGCCTGTCCCCTCCCTGCTCCATCTGTCCGGCCCCATCTGTTCTGCTCCTCTCTGAGACACAGGCTGTGCTTCCTGTCTCTGCTCCGAGAGCCAGACTGCAGCCTGCCTGCCCGGGAGCTAACGGGCACCTTCACGAGGAAATCAGTAAATAAACATTCTTTTCGATCGTTTGTACAGACACGAGAGCTCCTTTCATCGACCCCGCACCGACGGCCTGGCCTTCGCCTGGCATGAGAACGAAGAGAAGCTCCAATTTGTCCAAGGCTTGACCTCCCCAAATCCTCCCCAGGGTAACGAGCGACTACTTCAGTTTTAACCATCTGATCATGCTGAAATTGCTGAAGTTATAATTATAAACCTCCAAAGTAAGAGCAATAACGTGCAACTGGAGCTCATTTTCAGACTTGGCTGAGAAAAGGCTGAGACCAGACTGAGTAATTTTAATTTAGGTAAATTAAGGGTTTAAATTTAGCCTGGCAACTAAAATCCCACAAATCACAAACCATCGCCCCATGTTAATTGCATGAGCATCCTCTTATTATTTCTTCGTTTCTGACCAGTCAGAAAATCCTCATCCCAGTATTAGTCATGCCCTGGGTGTCTGGGAACTTGTAATATTTTACATTGTGTTTCTTTCGTTCTTCACAGAAAGGTTTTTTATTGCTTTACTATTAAAGTACAGTACAGGACTATTTTGGGACAGAAACCCTTCAAATTAACTGAGTTTTTATACTCTGTAAAAATGAGACCTACCTGAGGAACTATTTCAATGCTCATTCTTCAATTTAGTACTGAGTACCTGAAGCAGTAAAAGATTTTGCTCTTAATCATATTAATGAACTTGATTATTTTAAGAACCCAGGCTGCCAAGCAGGTTATCTATTTCAGTCTGTAACTGCATCACAAATTAGCAGAGCAATTAAAGCAAACGTGGAGCCAATAACAAACGTGTGAAGGGTTTCAGAGCTGGGCTGCTTGGGCAGGGGGCTCTGCTGTGGGGGCAGCAGAGTCCCAGGAAGGGGTTTCAGAGGAACCACTTGTCCCATTTGGTCACTCCCAGTGCAGGAACGAAGGAAACGGGATTTCCTTGCACAGAACTTACAATTGTGAGATGCTTTCTACATGGACTACTTCGTTTATTCTCTCCTGAAGGGGTAATGGCTTTAAACTGAAAGAGGGAAGGTTTAGAGGGGATATGGGGAAGAAATTCCTCTTGTGAGGGTGTGAGGCCTTGGCACAGGTGCCCAGAGCAGCTGGGCTGCCCTGGATCCCTGGCAGTGCCCAGGCCAGGCTGGACTCTGGGGCTGGAGCAGCTGGGACAGTGGAGGTGTCCCCATGGCAGGGGTGGCACTGGGTGGCTCCGAGGTCCCTCCCAAGCCAGGCCATTCCCCAGTGCAATAATTAGGAGGAATTCCAGTGGCTCCCACAGTGGGAATGCAGAGGAAGCTGCTCCCTAAAGGTTGGTTTGGTGGTGAAGCAAAACTTCCCAGGGCTTTTGAGCAGCCAAAGCCCCTGAGAGGTGACTGTCCCCCTCCCAGACTGGAGCTGCTCCTGCTCCCAGGCTTTGGTGGATAAGGGAAGAACAAAACCCTCCTCCTCCCCTTGGACAGCGCTCAGCACTCTGCTGCTGGCTGGGATTTTACAGCCACAAGACATAAATATTGCTTTTATTATTGGATTTCTCTGGAGTTAACCCGTATCCAAAATGTAAAACATTTCTGGCGTATGTACCCATAACTATGGAATCATGGAATGGTTTGGGTTGGAAGGGACCTTAAATCCCCTTAAAGGGACAGCTGCTCTGGGCACCCTGTGCCAGGGGCTGCCCCCCTCCTGGGGAACAACTCCTGCCCAATATCCCATCCATCCCTTTCCTCTGGCTGTTCACCCTCCCCAAGCCCACCCAGCTCTCCTTGCAGAGTCCCCTGGCACTGCAGCCATCGGCTCCTGCGCAGCTCAGAGCCCAGAGCAGGGAGCCTGAGCTGTGCTGCTCCTGTATCCCTCAGCTGGCATTTCTGTGGCAGTTCCAGTGACCCTCCAGCATCTCCCGAAGGGAAGAGAGGAAATCATCCTCCTCCACCACAGCAGTTCCCAGCTCTGATGGAGGAATTCCTGCTGGGGAATGTTCCCATGGCAGTTTCCTCCTCACAGCCCCAGCTCCCCTGGAGCTCTGCCAGTGATCCTTGTTCTAAAACCATTCCTGCCCATCTCACGCCCTGGATGGATCCCAGAGTTTTCCACCCCGGGCTCTGAGCTGCCCAGGAAGAGCTGGGTTACTCACCCGTGCCACTGAGAGGTGATGAACGCTCCTAGCACTCCGAGCTGGCTGCCAACCTTGAGCTGAAGGGTGATAAAAGAAAGATGAGAGGAAAGGAAATGTGAGATGATTGATAAAAATATAATTCCGCTGATAATCCCATCTGTCAGACTAATAACTCGCTGGTAATGTTTTTTTAATAATAATAACTCCTGCTTACATAACAGCTCCTATATGTGGCTTTTAAAGTCATTTGTAGGCATTAATTAAAGCCCAAAGCAGCCGTAGATGGGAATTCACATCCCCTCTCCCTGTGCCACTCCGCATTCCACGGGCAGGGAAGTCAGCAGGGCTGGCTGCAGGGAAATGCAGATTGCTGTGAGCAGAGCAGCTCCTGCCCGCCGTGCAGGAATCAGGGCAGGAGCCATCAGCAGGAGGGGGTTTGGGACCCCCCTGATCCCCTGCCAGCCCTGCTCCCTGCAGGAATCAGGGCAGGAGCCATCAGCAGGAGGGGGTTTGGGACCCCCCTGATCCCCTGCCAGCCCTGCTCCCTGCAGCAATCAGGGCAGGAGCCGTCAGCAGGAGGGGGTTTGGGACCCCCCTGATCCCCTGCCAGCCCTGCTCCCTGCAGGAATCAGGGCAGGAGCCATCAGCAGGAGGGGGTTTGGGAACCCCCTGCCAGCCCTGCTCCCTGCAGCAATCAGACCAGCAGCCCTGGGGTGAGACTCGGCCTGTGGAGCCAGGGCACAGCTGTGGGCACTGCTGGATGGGCACAGCTGTGCCCGTCCTGCTGCCCCATCGTTGTCACCACCACTGGCATCATTACTGTTATCTCTGACGTTGTTGTTGGGCCATGTTTAACAAAGAAAAGCTTCCCCTGGGGTTTCAGGGTGCAGAACCACAGCTCCACGTCACTCGGCTGAAGCAGAAGGGGCACACAGGGTGACCAGCTGTGCTGGCCAGCACCTGGCTGTCCCTCCTGCGGGCTCTGAGCTCCCACATGGCCAGTGGAGCCTCAGGAGTATCCACAGCCCCTAAACTGGCTGAACTGGGCCCTAAACTGGCTGAACTGGGCCCTAAACTGGCTAAACTGGGCCCTAAACTGGCCAACCTGGGCCCTAAACTGGCCAACCTGGGTGCTTCTCTTTGCTGGGCTCCTTTCACCTCACCTGAGCAAATCAGGCACATGTGGGCCACAGACACGGTGCCCATGTGCATCAGCACAGAACTTCATCTCCTGCTTTAAAATGGAATTTGTCATTGCCCAATGCAGGTACTGCTGCTGAGCCAAATGCCCTCAGTGAGTCCTTCCAGGTTCTCTTCAGCTGCAAAGACAAAATTGCAGCTTTGGGAGGGGTCACACACTGATCCACAGCAGCAGCTCCTGGCTTGCACCCCAAACACCAGGCTCAGATTTGCACCCCAAA